CTGGCTTGTCGGCCATTTTTGTGTGCGACATTGGCTTCTGAAATGGGAGGTAACGTCCTTCCACTGCACGTCCTCGTGTGATGCCACATATCCCTTCGTCCGGGCCTGACGTCCTCGGCAGGATGACAGAAGACCAAAAGGCATCACAGCGGGACAATGCTTCTAAGTTTCCGTGCTTGCTCCCCAGCCTGTGCACAAGAGAAAAATTAAAAGGCTGCGGGCTTCAAAACCATCTCGTTACCCTGCTATTTGTTTTCTTGTTTTCCGCCATGAAGTCAAGTCAAGTCAGCTTTATTGTCAAGTATGCTCTATGTGCAGCATACAGCACAGATGAAATTTCTTTCCTCTCAACCACAGTGCAAACACGCAGTGCATTGAAACACACATCCATCCATTGCAAAGGGGAATGATCAGTCACCAAAGTGAACTTCCTTCCTAGTCGGTAGTATTTTAGGGTTTCTGGAGCCCATTTAATGGCTAGGCATTCCATTTCCACTACAGCATCGTTTTTCTCTCTCGGTAGCAACTCAAGTAAAGTGTAGGATGTTCCTCACCTCCATTGACCGAGGCAAGTACCCAGACTCACCTCTGTGGCATCTGCCTGGACTACAAATTCTCTGCTGAAGTCTGGGGCAGTCAGCACGAGTGTTGAACACAGGGCCGTCTTCAGGTTGTCAAACACCTCTTCAGCCAGTAGTTTCCACTTGACCATCCGATTGTGTCTCTTCCTTGTCAAATCTGCGAGAGGGGCAGCTACTGCAGCAAAGTTAGGAATGAATAGCCTTTCGTAATTAGCCAAACCTAGAAATGATCTCACTTGCTTCTTGGTTACTGGCCTTGGCCAGTTTTGAATGATGGAGAGTTTCGCTTCTTGGCGGGGGCTTCACAAGCCCCCGCCCAATAGTGTATCACAGATAGTTTGTCTCGCTGCTGCATAGGCTGGATGTGGCTGCAAGACCTGATCCATGAAGCGTTGGAATGTTGCTGGGGCTCCAAACAGACTAAAGGGCATCATATGGTACTGCCACAAACCTCCTGGGGTGGAAAAGGCCATCTTCTCCTTTGACTCTGCTGACAAGGGAACCTGCCAATATAGCTTTGGCGAGGTTCAGAGTGGTTATTAAGTGTGCAATTCCCAAGATTTCAATTAGCTCATCAACCCGAGGCATGGGTCCGAAAGTTGTTACAAAACGTACTGTGTCGTCTGGTTTTTCTGCTAGTACTGTAAGGCTTGATCAGGACCTCTTAGAGCAGGGGTGTCAAACTCATTTCACATTGTGGGCCACATATGGCCTCAGTAGATGTCAAGTGGGCCGGACCATTAAAATTAGACCATTCTCTGCTATAAATAACCAACATAATATGTCTTTCCTTTTTTTGGTCTAAAGAAGCAAAGAACATTAGGAAAATATTGAAATTTAATGAACATATCTTTTACAAAACATTTCATGAAGCAGCTTAGATTTCCTTAGACAAATATTGAAAAATATAGTACTGCATTTTAAGATAAAACGAGATTTATAAAGAAAGGAATTTTTAAACCATTTACACATGTGCATATAAAATCTCAATTTAATCCCTGCCTACACCTTAGAAACTAAGGAGAGTGCTATTAAATGTGTAAAGAAGAAAGTATTCACGTCCTTGATAGCGTCTGTTGTGTTGGGTCTGTCTCAGTGACACACTGAGACGGCTGTTGTCTTCTTCTCTGATCAAAACAATCTTCTCTTCTCCTCTGATTAAAACAGTGTGTCCCCTAGTGGATGCTCCATAAATTGCACCTTATTCATGAATTACACCTTATTCATTCCGTGTCTTTTATGCATTTTTTTTCACTTTTAAATGATCCTGCGGGCCTGATCGAACCTCCTTGGGGGCCGGTTCTGGCCCGCGGGCTGTATGTTTGACACCGTTGTTTTAGAGGTCTCTGTGTGAGTGTGTGTGTGTGTGTGTGTGTGTGTGTGTGTGTGTGTGTATCTGCTATCTGATTGATGTCTTACTGTATTTACAGCACACTTGTTTGATAATATTTTGTGAAGATGTAGTAAATACCCAAAAGACTACAAGACTAAGTGTTTTGTAAATTAACAACTCTAGATTGAAGTAGATAAATAAACTGACTTTCATATTAATTCATGGTTCAGTTGCCAATTGTTAAATTTTAGCCAAACCTAAAAGGCCAAAAAAACTGATGTATGTATAATAAATCTGATATTGTTTATTGTAATACAGATTCATGTATTGCTTCTTTGTTAAAAAAATATAATAAGTGGAATGTGGACCTTGAAAAACATAATCGCATTTGAAATTGCAATTGCAATTTTGGGACTTGGGTGGGAATCGCAATAAGATTATTTTTCAAAATCGTTCAGCCTTGACCTCAAACATGTGAACAGATGTTTGGAGCCAAAACGAGAACATTACATTGTGCGTTGAGTGCAATTTGTCAGCGTTGTGTTGACACAAGTTGATTTATCGTCTTGACACTGGAAATAATCCCGGTTTGTTGTCATCCCCACGGCGACACTGTCGTTTGATAAGATGCTTCAGATAGATGTTGCATTGCCTCTTCTTCTTTTTCTTCTTCTTCTTCTCCTCCTTTTGTGCGTCTCCCCTGGCCGAGTGGCTCTGGAGTACAGTTGGGCATTAGACTTTCAAATGAGCCATTAAACAAGGTGACGATCAACCGCCAGACCTTTACGTAACAATCGTATTGGTGCGTGGAGAAAACAAGTGGAAATACATTATAACTCCATATTGTGTTCTCACATTGGTTCCCTTGAGATTTGAGCATGCAGCGGGCGGGCTTGGGGGTGGGGGGGTGATAAGCATGTTTGGGTGGCCTCTTCCATCAGCTGGGTGAAAGGAAAACGGCGGGCGGGGGGGCTCTTTTTTCCTTTTTTTTTTCTTTTTTTTTCCAGCCACAACCACCCTCCCCCTCTTTTGCCCCCTTTTGCCCTCAGGCTCCACCCAGAAGTGTGGTTGCCTTTCGTCATTGTAATCTGGCCGTGTTTGCTAAACGTTGCCACTGTTTACTCTCCGCCACGGGGGCTTGTATGAACAGGAGTCAGCAGGACGACAGGGGTGACATCACTTTGGCTGGAGAGCCAGTCGGAGGTGGGGAGGGGGAAATTAGTGATTTCTCAGGAACCTTTTTTATTAATCAGGGGTAAGGTGAGCATGGCCTGCAGGGAGGAATTAAACCCAGTGACTTGAGTAACGGGACTTGGCGGCAGTCAATGGTAATCACCCAGAATCATTTCCAGGTTGCCGTTTCACTGATAGCCGAGGCTTTTATTTCAATGATGCGGGAGAAGTGAAACAGACTGACAGGTAGAGACATTTAAAAAGAAGAAGAACAGGGCGAGTTGGAGGGAAGGGGGGGGGTGAAATCAAATTAACGGACAAGGATTTCATATCATCTATTTTTGTTGTTGCCGTAGCGATAAAGTCGCAGACATTGAAACTGGTCTGTTGAGCCATTGTTATCATCCCTGGCCATCTGCTACTGAGGAGTGACATTCGCTCTCATTTGCATGATGAGTGATGGAGGAGGAGGTTGGGAGGGCATATGCCTCGGTCTTATGACAAAGCCAGGGAAAGTTTTTTTCCCCTCTTTAAATATCACGGAAATGAGGCTCGGCAAATAAAGTGGCAAAGAGAATCTATAAATGTTAGCCCAGCGTACACAAATTTGTGGTTTGGGCACACATGCATGCACATTTAGGAGGCCGATGGGCCTTCCTTTTATGACAAAGGCAGAGAAATCTCCCCTTTACAAATTCAAGGGGAATAAGCATAATTAGACAATGTGTTGAAAATAATATGGAAGAACAGGAGGAGACTTGCCATTCAAGTGTGTGTGTGTGTGTGTGTGTGTGTGT